TAAATGAAAAATAGCACATGTCAAGGTGTGTAAAGCAACTAAGTACCAGCAGAAATGTTGCATAATTGAACAGAGGTTCGCAGAATCACGGGCTTCCATGGACCGAGTTCACAGAAGTGTCGCCTCCTCATTGCGAAACTGAGGAAAACGGCCAAAACACAACTTCTCTCTGTATTAACCGCATAACAAAACGAACTCAATGCGACAATCGCTAAGGGCACTTTCAATGAGCACACTTGGTGCACGTGATGCACTTGAAGTCCTCTTTCTTCTTTCCTGCATTCAGCCAATTTTTGTACTGTACCGCAGAGGCTTGCTCGTAATAGGGCATGTTTGGAACGCCCAGTTTCCAACCGTCGTATCTTCGGTGGTAGAGAAGCTCATGAATACAATCGATAGCAATCACGTCGAAACTTTGAATGAACTTGTTGACAAATAGTTCAGGGCGGCCAATGAGATTACGAAGATCCGCAGTAGATTGAACGCATACGGTATTTCGCCATTTTCCGCAGCAGTTGAACCTTTCCATATACTCTCCGGATTGCCAAACGGCTAGCCTGCTGACCCAGACGTTTCTTCCGCCGCTTGCACACCGGCCAGGATACGTGCCCGGAAAGCCAAGATGCTGGTTATGGCTCAGCGTGCTCCAGAACAGTTCATCGCCGAAAAACGAAAACTTCAAATACGACTTCAAGCCATGAAAAATTGGGTGCCTCCGCAGATGATCGAGGAATGGACGGCTGAGAGAAGCGACGACACTGCCTTTGTAAAACGTGACGTTAAACGGGCGGGATCCTCGCGTCAGATTTACTGTCTTCGCTATCTCGGGAACACCCATGGAATTTCGCTCATAGTAGTAAAAGTTTTGGGTTCGTGAACCCGGAGCCGGCATCAGTTCCACGTCGTTGAAACCACCGTACATTTTGAGTATGTTCACGATCTCCAGGTTCGTTTTCAGAGGGAAGTCGTGATTCTGCAGAGTTATGAGGTACTTCCAAGGCTTTCTTTGGTGCCGTCGTTCGAATCTGTACAAGTCATCGATGCACTGAACAAAGGCATCAATGGTAAACGAAGTCGCTCGAGAAATGGCGTACGACGAAGAGCTGACGACCACGTTCGGAAAGCAGCCTGCCAGTCGTTTCATTGCTAGGTGAATGAGTAGAGGTGCTTTGATATCGACGTGGAAACAGTAGACGTTCTGAGGAGCATAAATCGCGTTCAGCAACATCTCTACCTGTTCCAGGTGCTCGTTGATCAGTATGACGTAGGCGATGGGAAAATTGCTCTCTTGCATCGAGTCTGGCCGGTCGGGGTAAAAGTGGCGAGATCGGACATTTTCACAGTCGTTGAAAATCTCGTAGCATTCAAACTCACTCAACACTTGTCTTTTCTTGCTCACCGCCTCTGCGACCGTCGCACTGTTGCCCAACAGGATTTCTTCACACAGGAAAGGGTGCTTTTTCAAGTAAAATTTCGTTTTCCTGCCTGACGTCGAAAACATACCTTCTCCTGTGATATCTTTCATCATTTGCACTGCCTTATAAATTTCGAAGTAGACCACTGCTGTCACAAGGATGGCCGCCAATATCACTACTTTAGTATACTTGTGATTCATTTCTGTATACTGGCGCGGTGGTCGCAGTAGCACGTTGAGGTCCTTTGCTGAAACTTCGATCACTCGCTTCTTTACCTGCTCGTTGTTGCGGACAGTCCAGGGGCCATCGTTCTACAGCACACGGCAGACGGATTCATAGTCGAGGACTGAACCAAGTGAAACTCCAAAAGTGGTGCGGCTTCGCTATCACTGCTATACAAGCCATGCTAGCCTGTTAATGGCTCTGCAGATCTATTGACAGTAACATCTAAGCTTATTGCAACGGTTTTTAATAGGTGCTTAAAGTTTGACCGTTATCATTCTGAACAGAAAATTCGACCTGTACTATAAACAGCACAAAACAGCCATGTTTTTGTGCATGCGTTCATGTGCTGTAGTGAAATTGCATGTCGCCAACGGCAGATAACAATTTTTGTTAAGCCATGACCGTGTCGATACGCATTCTTTACAAATCAGCAATGTGTGATCTCTCTAGATTGAAATTTTTGCTCCTCACCCCTGATGCCCAACATCGCCAGCGTCGTAGCGGAAGGTGGGCGTCGACCTGATTAATAAATCGCAGCGTGGGCGAAGATCCTTCATAAATGATTGACGGTTTCCGCTGTTCAACTGAATATGCAATTTCTAATAAGAAAATTTTGAGCGGTGCAAGGGGACTCAAACCCACAATAAGCAAAGCTACTACCTTCTCCCCTGGATTGCGTAGACAGCATCATCTTACGTGGTGATTAAGTCGGTGGTGGATTCCGATCTCTAGCAGAAACGTAGCACTGAGTTGTAGCAAAATAGGAACTGCCCTTAGTCCTTTCAGGTTGCGATGTACAAGAAGGCATGAGGCAATCCTGGAAATAGAGGTTGGCATGGAAACTGTGCCTTCAAAGAATAACCAATCTCTTCACTGTAGTCTCCTGGTGATGGAGGCTATGACGCCACTTTATGTAGATGCATGACGTTCACTTCAGCAAATGTTTTCTGCGCATAACTATTAATTGGTATATGAAACGGCCACGTCAGGCCAAGATACCAATCGGTTCTGTGAGCGTATCAGCTGAGAAAAGTATGCATATGTACACTATGCTTAGATAATCTACGCACGAACGCATCCATACAATAGATAAAGCCAGGAACATTGCAAACGATGCAGCATTAACAATGACAGAGAGATAATTGGGACGGACGAGACGAATGAGGTCTTGGATAAGTTTAGAAACAAAAAAGTTGAATGGAATAAACAGGCTGGCCAAGATTCATAAAAAGCGAAGTTTCTGGAGAGAAGCACAGAAGGAAATTAATAAATCATTCAGGAAAGAGAAAGCCCTTTTCTTTAAGAGGTAGCGTGAAATGATGGAGGTTGCGGCACGGTAAAAGATATAAAAAGCTTGTTCAGGAAAATCCATTGATACTTCGACAGAACACGCCTCGCATAACATCCGTTATGGAAGATAATGGTAACGTCATGTGTGATCATACAGCAGTCCTTCAAATATGGGGAAAATACTTTCACTCGCTACTGCACTCCGCTGTGATTGTTTTCCGTATGTTAGTATACACAGAAAAATTATAGTTGCTTACTGGATCGCTGACCCTTGAGCCTGAAGCCTTAAGCAAACTGAAGAGTAGCAGTGCTGACGAATTCATGGAGCACAACAAAACTTGGTTAAGGTGTCCGAAATTAACGGAGTGCTGTACTTAGTAAATTTCTTTGTATTGGTATGGATAAAAGAGGAGATCTCGAATGACTGGAAGATGAATGCTGCGGTCCCAATATTCAAGGAAGGCTGTCACTGTCGTGGGGTCAACATACCAATATACCATCGTTCTTGCTAAAGTGTTTATCGTTATTATGGTAAACAGGATTAGACGATCTCTTAAGAAGATTTCTGGTGAAGATAATTATGGATTTAAGGCACCTAGAGAATATTTTGGCCAGATATCTACAAGCAGACAGCTCATGACAAAGAAGAATAAAAGGGCATCGAAATTCTTTGCAGTCTTACTTGATCTAGCCAAAGCGTTTAGCTGAATTTCAGGAGATGCCTCATGGTAAGTTTGTGAACGATATGGAATCACACAAAAATTATTAGCATAATTTAGAATATGTATCATCTTTCGTTGATTGTAGTAGGAACTGACGGCAGGATCAGCAAATTCTTTCGTATAAGGTTTAGAGTAAGGCAAGTAAATGTCAGTGAAGCGAAACGTCCTCGTGAATTCGTTGCACAGTTGGTTTTTGTTGTCTAACAAATGTAACGATTGTCTAGTGGATAGCTCGATGTTTGTTTCTTCCCCCGACCTTGTTTTGTTTATGGTTTTGTCCACAGTTCTATCGGTTTTTTTATTTTAACTGCTGTTTATTCACTTTGCAGCTGAATCAGATTTCGTTCATTATCTTTGCTGAAATTAGCATTCTTTCGTGAGTCATTTCGACAAGTTACAAAGGGGATTTTGTTCCATGAGCACAAAACATCCGGGTAAGCTACTCTGTCATCTGACGCAGTTGACTTGCTGCCATCCAGAAAATTCGTCCTGTTTTTTGACGAGACAGCTAATCGGCAATGATCGATGATTCTCATGTATTGTCATTTTATTATGTTAATACTGCATTGTATCTTATATGTGATTATTGCTGTGTTTATGGACAATAACTACAAAGTTATTCTGAACATGAACTAAACTATTCTTGTAGTAAATAGTCGCAGATTTAGTTCGTCCTCGAAAGTGCCCTTGTTCAACTCAACTCAGAGATGCGGTGCCTCCATCATTACATTACAGGTGCTCAAATACCATGGGGCTGTGGCCTGCATAAATCTTTTTCCCTATGCGATTAGAAGCAATGGGACGGCAATGATGCATACGCTGATTATTGAATCCGCGATCAGAAATTCAAATGTCATGAATATCAGGAGAATTGGAAGGCTACTTTCAGTAGCTCCCTCGGAACACCGGGGTTATGCTCTATCTAAAATTCGTTTTACTGTTTCGAAGCACTAAAATGCTTAGTTTTTATTGAACGGGCAAATTCCGTATGCAACAGACAGCTTGTTTTTTTCTTTATTCAGGAACTCCTTCTGAAGAATCATTCTGTTGACCCTCTGCCGAAGACCCGGTACCAAAACAAGCTTTTCTTCGATCGTATTGTACCGTCGTAGGTAGATCAAGAGTTCGATCAGTGCACAGACTTGTATGAAGATAAAAGAGCACGAAGCAAGGACAAACGACCAGCCTAAAAGAAGAAAGATTTTCAGGCTTCTTTGAATTTAAGTACCTTTGCGTACCGTAATACGAACGATATTTCGAAGGTTCCCCTTCCGGCGTCGGTTTAACGCGAGTATTCATTTCATCCTCCAGCACACAGATAAACTGAAGTACACTCATTGATATGATGATTCCTAATAAAAAAACTAGAGATTCTTCAGTACTGCAAAAAATATTTTCTTAAAGTCAACCAAGGAAAACATCTATCAACAATACAGACACAGATATGCCTCAGAAGATTCGCTACTATCTCCTAATTGCAAAGATTGAGTTACAATTAAAGCCTTGAATGTTTTGAAAGGCGAAATGCGACGCAGGGGATCTCTTCCAAAAGCGTCCCTTTGATACATGCAATGACTTATAGTCCTGCCTTTGAGCTGTCAAGAACAGTGAAGCTATTAACTCCCACCGCAAACAAATAGCTTTACCACGTAGCTAGTCTCAGAAAATCATTATATCGACGAGTATCGACCTTTTGATGATCATACCCTGGTCATCCCTCATGCTGTGGACTTATCCATGCACTCTGAAGGCAGGCACATGAAAACAAGATTGGATATCACCAACTGTTTCGCCACCAGCCAGTCTTTCATGATGTACAGCTCCCTTAATTCTACGCCCTAGAAGCGGTAGACGAAAAAGCAAGGAAAAGAAAGAACGTTTGTATTCGTTCGAATGGTCACCTTCCTTAGATATTCGTCATGGAAATATTTCTCACGCCCTTCTTTCCACGAGTTAGTGGTGTGACGTTGATTCCCATTTCTATTACATCAACCAGGAGTGCCTTATTCACGACGTTGTCAGAGTCGACAGCAATTATATGGCAAGCATAATCTGTAGTCTCCTGTTTCCTTCCCACAGAACGGTACTCATTTATCGATCTCGCAAGGAAAAAAGGCAAACGATACGATCGAGGCTTTAACACAGGACCTCTTGGAGCAACCTCTGTCAGACAATAAGCAGAAAACCAAATTTGGATAACGTTTGAAATATGCAGGGTTTGCTGCAGAACATGCAATGAATCTGATTAATAAGTAATAGCTGAAGTGCATCGTCAATGTTAAAGAATGTCTCAGTTTAACTGCTAGAGAATTCGCTTGAAAATGGCACAGCATCTGGCAACAGCATTGTGACATGGAAATTGCATGTTGCCATATTCAGGATTGCCATAAGCTGTTCCTGTTGCTACTGAGAAGTGAGTTTGTTTTAAACACGCAGTTGCCAGGGCTTCTTCGCTTGACGAGGTCATCG